GATATTCAAAACCCGCCTGGATGTGTTCCTGTGCAACCTGCTCTGGGTGACCCTGCTCTGGCGGGGGGGTTGGACTGGATGATCTCCGAAGGTCCTTTCCAACCCCTACCATTCTGTGATTCTGTGATTTTAAAAACAATTGATAGCACAGACTGTTAAGCTGGAGTTAGGTGCCATTGCTATGACTTCTTCAGTGAAAGATCCAAAGCCAGCAATCCCCCATAAAGTACAATAAAACCAGTAAACTTTCATAAGGATTTTCCTTCTCATATATGTAGTGTACTGCATTTTTTAATGTAATCTGTCATACTTTATCCTATTTCCTACATGTGGTAGCAAGGAGCAATTGGAAGAGCAGAGCAGCCATGCACTGACACAAAAGTGCATGTCACATTGATTTCACATCTGTGCTTTGTCCTAGGAGTACCAAGAATTGGGGTTTCTAAAGAACACGACTCCAATGCGACTGCTCCTCTTAACAGCCTCCTTTAATGAGCCATAGAATGAACAAGCAACCCTTACTCAATTGCATTTGAGAGGGAAACACAGGCGATACAGTATAAAAGAAAATAATTTTTTGTTATCTCCCCAAAGGAAAAAATGGAAATGCAAAGCTTTATACACCCAGCAAGAAGTATTTTCATTGCAACTGTACTTAATCCTTCCATGAACTCCCTGAAAACCACAGAACTTTAACTTGTTTGTAGCTTGCAGCCCACACATACCCACAGCAGTCCCTGAAGTTGTCTCTACCCACCAAGCTCACCTGGGCGCATGCCTGTGCACCGACACAACTTCCCAGCAGCTCTGCAGGATGAGTGCAGTCTGGTAATTCTCACATCCACACACCACAGTGTGCACCACCTCCCGCAGCAGCATCAGACAAATCCACTCCTCCAATGCCAGCACATCCCACCTGCCTGCTGCCCCTGAGCCACCCCTCAGAGACCACACTTCAGCACCCATCCTGAGCCACCCTACAAGGAGCCCAAGGGCCATGTGCATCTCCAAAAGCACAAGTCAATTGTCCTGGAGCAGTCTGTGCATATGCTGCTGCTGCTGGGCACCTACTTAGGGGTGAAACACATATATAACATGCAGAGGAAGAGACTAACTGAAACTCAGGCAAAGCATATGTCCTGGTTTGAGGTAAAACAGAACCAATTTTGGTCAGTAACTTCACTTCTTAGCTGGGCCTCTCTAACTACGGAAATTAACAGCATATTGTGCAGACACTGTTCACTCTCTCAGAGTGATCAGACCTATGTTTATAGCTGATGCCCAGGCATGGTATGCAGAGAGGCTCTTACTTATATTTATTGCTATAACACCCAAGGCCAACCAACTTTGTTATTTGCCCCGTTGGAGGGTCGGAAGCGGAAAAGCATAGTGGGGTCCCACCTGCAAGGAGGAGCGGACAGGACAGGTGACCCCAAACTGACCAACGAGGGTATTCCATCCCATCTGCCTCATGCTCAGTATAAAGGCTGAGGGATCAAAGGGTCAGCTCTCTCTTCCTGCAATGGCCGACGTCTGAGGAGGACTCTGTTCGTCTGCCTTTGATCCCGACCCTGAATGCAGATCCGGAATCCAGTTCCTGTCCGTCACTGAGTCCAGCCTGGGACAGCCCCAGTGCCAGCCGGTGTCGTGATTGTCATCCTGGGAGCTTGATACGGTTTTGTATATATTTCATTATTTCTTTTTTTTAATTTTATTTTTAATATTTCATTAAAGTAGTTTAGTTCCTTCTAAACTCATAAGTCTCTTTTTCCCTCCTCTGCCCCTCTCTTTGAAGAGGGGTAGAGGAGAGCATCTGTCGGTCCCATCTGGGGACCCCAGGTCCCCAGTAGCCGATTTGGCCTAAACCACAACAGCATAGCACATGGGTGGACTCACAGAGCAGTTGGCACCCCTGGGCAGCACTGCTTTCACATCAGTATAAAAGCTGAGGAATCAAAGGATCAGCCCTCTTTCTTCAATGGCTGGTGTCTGAGGAGGACTCTGTCTGTCTGCCTGCCTTTGATCCTGATCCATGTATTCCTGAATCCAGATCCAGAATCCAGTTCCCATCTGTCGCTAAGCCCAGTCTGAGATTTTCCCAGTGCCTGCTGGTGATGTGATTGTCTTTCTGGGAGCTCGATACAGGTTGCACATATTTTATATATTTAATTTTTTTCTTATTAATAGCACTATATTTTCTTTTTATTGTAGTATTATTCATATTTGATTAAAGTAGTTTAGTTTCTTTTTCAATCCATAAGTCTCTTTCTCTCTCATTCTTCTCTCCCTGATGGGAGAGGTTGCGGGGAGCATCTGTCATTCATTCAGTGGCCAGTCCAGCCCAAACCACTACTATACAAGACAATCCCCCAAGGAAAAACTGGAAGT